AGCGACGAGCCCGGCGCGGCCCTGTCCTTCACCCTCTGCATGCTCCCCGAGGGCATGACGGAGGCCGAGGCCATGTCGGCCCCGCAGCACAAGAAGAAGAAGGCCGCGAACGGCTGCGCGGTCCTCGAGCGGTGCACCTCCTTCGTCGAGTGCGAGGTCCGGTCCCTGGCGTCCGCCGGCACCTCCTCCATCATCTACGCGGCGGTCACGGATGGAGACCTCGTGGAAGAGGGCCTGCGGACGGAGCTCGTCGGCGCCAACCACGCGGCCGTCGACCATGCGGCGCAGGACTCTGCGGCGGCGCAGAATGAGGAGCTCGTGCCCGCGTAGGGCTGGCGCCCGGGCACCAGTGGGCGGAGCGTCACCAGCACAGCCCGAGGATTTAGGGCTACGCTTCTGCTGCCCCTCGGGGGAGCCCCTGGCACGCGGCCATTTTCCGAGCGTGCTAGCCGCCCGGCCTGGAAGCAGAAACGTCGCACACACCATGAATCTGCTTGCGCTGTTTTCCCTTCCTCCAGCACCGTCTTCGGCATCGCTGCAGCGGACGCGCTGCGCGGATTCCCCAGCTTTCGCTGTTGAGGGGGTGGGTGGGAGGAGGATCTCGGTGGAGGAGGCACTGGTTCATCGGGCTTCCCAGGTGGCCGAAGCACGACCACCAACAACGTACTAGGATCGTCTCCCCCCAGAGCGGAGGGGTTACCCCGTGCTAGTGCCGGTGCCCACTTTCTGTCCGCCTCCCGCTCCTCGGCCGCCGTGCCGCCGAGCTTTCTCTGCGTATGCCCGTTATCGCCCGCGGTGGGCCCGGGGCCTAGAGTTGTATAGAGGCCTGATGAGGCCTGCCGTGCAGGGCATGCTGCGGCAATTTCTCCAGGGGATTGAATTCTTGGCGCGCGTTTTTCTCGGGATCCGCTGATCGAGGATCGGCCTCCCCAAGTTTTATACCTGCCTCTCTCTCCACGCATGCTACGCTGGCGGCTTGTCCGCAGGCCGGCGATCAGCAGAGCCACCCGGCAGCGCGAAAAAAAAAAAGAAAGCATCGCCAGGATAAACTCCGAGTTGGGCCAAGAGCAGCGTTCAGACGTCAAAGCCAAGGCTACCAAGCGTCTTGCCAGCCTTCTGAACCTTCCCAGCCTTGCCGTCTTGTTGGTCGGATTCGTTACAACCTCCCTGGAGACCAGATGTCTCTTGCCGATCGTATGATTATGAACCTGAGTCCCGCCTTCCAGAAGGTCGAGCAATTTGTTTGCACTGCCATCCTAAAATCTGTGTGCAAAGGGTGGCCGACCACCCGCAGGTACAGGATGTGCACCCCGCCGCGCCGATGTGGCAGCGGCCAGGAGACGGGGGACAGGCTCGACCACTACTTGAATTGCCCCCTCGTTGTCCCCCTCTTGTGATGTCTTTTCCATGTCCTCCCTGCCTGCTGTCCACAACGGGATTTCTCGCGGCCCGTATTTGCCCATGACTCGAGCTCTTCAACGTCCGATGGACTGACTGCATGCTTGTCTCACTATGCCTGGCATCCGCCTGTCTGTTTACAACACTTTCAGGCTGCAAGACCGTTAGGGCCCTCAAAGGACCCAGAGCATGATCCGCGCTCGCGCCAGAGCGATCGCCAGGCGGTCCGCTCGCGCCCGTGAGATGCTATCCGAAAAATCTGGTGGCAGTTGGTGCTCTTGGGCGAGAAAGCTTCTCACCCCCATGAGGGGAAGCGGATCCGGCCCTCAAACGGGCTCTCTTAAATGCGGTGCGTTCTTCCTCCTCCTCTTCCTCATCATCATCATCATCATCATCGTCATCATCATCATCATCATCATCATCATCATCATAATCATCATCATCAGCATCATCATCATCATCATCAGTATCAGCATCATCATCATCAGCAGCAGCATCATCATCAGCAGCATCAGCATCAGCATCATCATCCTCATTATCATCCTCATCATCATCATTATTATCTTCAGCATCGTCATCGGCATCGTAAACGTCATCAGCAGCATCATCATGATCGTCATCAGCATCAGCATCAGCATCATCAGCATCATCAGCATCATCAGCATCATCAGCATCATCATCATCATCATCATCATCATCATCATCATCATCATCATCATCATCATCATCATCATCATCATCATCATCATCATCATCATCATCCCGAACCCCCCGCTCCTCCCCGCACTCGTGCTGCCCCTAGGCCCCCTCACCCCTCCCCCCCCCCCCCCGCCCGTCCTCCGTAGCCATTTTCGCCCAAGATGCCGGGCAGCCCCGCCGCCAGCGCCGCGTGCTCCGCCGCCCAGGGCCGCCGGCGGGCGCGGCCGCGGGGCCGATGGAGAGGGACAGCGATTGGATCTGGGAGGCCCTCGCCCTGGGCGAGGAGAGCCTGCTGAAGGACGCGGACATCGACTACTTCGACTGGAACGGCACTCACGAAAAGTACGGCACGCCGCTGATCGCGCTGGTCGTGGGCAAGGCCACCGGCCAGGAGGTCTACGACTTCGCCACGGGCACGCCCGAGAAGCTCATGGAGCGGCTCAACCTGATGAAGCTGGTCCTCTCCAAGGGCGCGAGCCCGCACGCGAAGCCCCCGCCGCAGTTCAGCATCTGCAAGTCCTGGTGGAAGACTGAGGGAGACAAGGAGGTAGAGAACAGCCGCACGCCTCTGGTCCACTTCAACGACAAGTCGGCGTACGGCGTGGTCGCGTCATGCCTGGAGGCCCTCACCAACGTCGAGGGCGACTGGAAGCGGGAGCTGCGCTTCCTCCGCGACGCCGCCAAGATCCTCGCGACCTTCCGCTCCGGCGTGCAGGAGGCAACCCAGGCCCTGCTGCGCGTGCCCGTCGCGGAGGGTGCGGTGGAGACGTGGGACCGGCTGCTGAGCACGCTGGAGGGCGCGGATGTCACCATTCGAAGAAGCAAAAACAGCATACGTGAGCATAAACTGCTAGAGGTGCGTGCAGATTTCTTGGATCGGCGCTGGGCCCCCCCCCCTCCCTGGCGCGCGGCGCTGGAGGCGCCGCCAGGGGCATGGCATCGATAGAACGTGCGTTTTGTTCTCGGCGAAGACCCTCGAGGAATATCTTGGGTTACCTTGCGGAAGAATAACGACACGCACGAGATCGAAAGAGGCACGGGGAATGAATGCGCGAGCGATGGCGAGGAGGGGCCCAGCGCCCACCCCAGAACTCCGCGCGCACCTCTGGAAGGTTCTGCCTCTGCTGTGTTGTGTTCCTCGAGCCATCGTGTGCAGCCCCGGCGCGCTGCCCCCCACCGAGCTGAGGGCGCACGGCATCGTGCTGCGCGCGGCGTCCAAGGTGCTGCGCGCGATGCTCTCGCCCGGGTTCCGGGAGGGGGAGGAGCGGCGGCGGGCCTGGGGGGGAAGCGAGACTCGGCGGGCCTTCTCGGTGGGCTCGGCAGTCCCCTGGCCCTCAAGGAAGCGTTCCGAGCCCCCCCCCGTGGTACAGAACTTTTCTCGGAAAGCCAGAGGCCTTCTGAGAAGCCCCGCCGCCTTCCGTGAAGGCCATCTCCTTCCCAGTTCCCCCCCCCCTCGCTCGCCGCCGCGAGGAGCTGCGGGTGGAGGTGGGCTGCGACGCCGCCGCCGTGCGCCTGCTCCTCCAGCAGAAGGGACGCCGGCATGAGCATAGGCTCTCGGAGCTCCGCGCGGCGTTCCTGGGTCTGGCCCGGGCCCCCCCCCTCTCCTCTGCCGACTGCACGCGAGGGTGACCTTTCGCCGGAGTGGCCTCTGGTGCGGGCCCAGTCGGGTCCCCCGAGCGCGGAACGCGAAGCGGGTTAGCAGCGGCTTGCGCGCCATGGACCTGGCCAGCCCGCGTCCGCCGCGAAGCCGCGCGCCAGCGGTCACTCTTGTACCCAGGCTCGCTTCCACGTGCAGCCAACTCTTGCGGCGCCTCTGGGTGATGTTCCAGCTTACTGTAGCCTTGATCGCCAAACATAATTTCGAGCACCAAGAAAGTACCGAAACTGAAGGTTTTTCGCGTGTCGGGCCCTGGGAGGCGATACTCGTTCGACACTGTTTCGATACTTTTCTGGGTGCTCGAAATTATTTCTGGGATGTGCTCCTCTAGTTTGATGGGAGCAGCATAGCCCTGACCCTTTCCGCGCGCCGGGGGGGGATCCAGCGCCGAGCCCAGAACTCCGAGCGGAGCTCCGAAAGCCTACGGTCAGGCCGCCCTCTCTTCTCGCGCCCTCTCGCTCACCTACACGGGCGAGGAGGTCGACGAGGCCGACGCGACTGCAGACGCCCTGCTCGCCGCCCTGGAGCTGGCCCACCAGTGGGACGTCGGCCACGCCGTCCTGGCGCTCGAGGCCGCCGTGACGAAGAAGCTCGACGACGAGCGCTTCGGGCGAGTCCTCGAGGTGGCCTCGAGGCTGCAGCTGACCGCCCTGACCGGCTCGTGCATCTCGAGGAGCAGAAATCGGCATGAACACATGTGTTTTGTCGCAGGTCCGCGAGGATCTCCGAGGAATGATGCTTGCGCCACTGTTCGCCAGTCACGCTTCTCACCGCAATGCGGGATACATGTTTGGTTTGGACTGCCACGGCCCGCCTGTCAGCGTCCCTAAGAAGCCCGAGGAATTCCTAGGAGTGCACGTTGTCTCGAGACGACCTACTCCCCGACCCGCCTCTTCGCCTTTCTTGTTATTAGTCGAGTAGGGGATCGACTACAGAATAGATGTACCCAGAATCTTATTGTTGTCGCCAGATCTACAAACGAATGCGTAAGATGTTCGTAGATATACAAACATTTACGTTTTTTTTGTTTCGCGGATGCGACGTGAAAATCAATTCTGGGGTGAATCATTTCTGTAGTCGATCCCCTACTCGAAGTAGGGGGCCTTGCTCGGGTACTCTGTTCCTCCAGCATCGCCTTCGTGAAGACCAGCGAACCAGGAAGAGGGATCCAGCGCAGGTCGCACGGAACATCGAGAAGAGATGTTCATGCCGTTTCGTTGTTCCTCGAGCATCGCCTTCGCGAAGAACAGCGCGGAAGCGAAGAGGCGCTTCAAGGCCTCCCTGCTCCCGCCGGTGGCGCAGGCCGCCCTGGCCAGGCTGTTCGGCGAGCCGGAGTGCGCGGCCGGCGGGGAGGCGCGGCGCAAGCGGCGCCGCATCGTGTCGCAGTGAAGCCGCCGATGGGGGTCAGGCGCCACGCCCTCCACGCGGCGGCGCCACGTCGACACTCGACGTTCGAGGCTTTCGGCCGGCCTCGTCGGCTTTTGGCGGCCTCGGGATGCCTCCCAGCAGTGGCGCCTCGTCGAGGGCCCTCCTGGGGTGTCCAGGTCGTCCCGAGCTGCCGTTGGCGGCCCGAGAGGTGGCCCGAAAGCCAGCCGGCGTCGAGTAGTGGGCAGGTGGGGCCAGGGCGAGGACGGGGCCAGGGCGAGGACAAATATCCGTTCCAGGCCGTTCCGGACGCTCTGAGGAAGCCCCGGCGCCCGAGACATCCTCCAGAGCCGCCGGATCGCAGAGGTTCTCGATGTCATCCGCACCCGGGGAGGAGGAGGAGGAGGAGGAGGAGGAGGAGGAGGAGGAGGAAGGAGTAGGAGGAGGAGGAGGAGGATTTAGGATGAGGAGGAAGGAGGAGGAGGAGGAGTAGTAGGAGGAGAGGGGAATGACGAGGAGGGAGGATTGAGGAGAGGAGGATGTCGGAGGAGGAGGAGGAGGCGGAGGAGGAGGAGGAGGAGGAGGAGGAGGAGGTGTTGTCTTCGTCCTGGCTTCGTCTCAGGGCGAGGCCCAGGAGGGGGCAGGGTCACGGCCGGGGCCTATGGGTGCCTCCCAGATCTCACCCGCCCGAGCTCGGCGGCGCGCAGCATGGGGGTGGCGCGGAGGGGGGCGGCCTTCCAGCAGGCCATGGGCTCAAGCCAGAGGAGCGAGAAGTCGTGCTGATGGTGCGCCACACCCAGATCCACTCGCGATGTGAATGGAAAAACACGGAAGGTGGCTCGTTCTCTTCTGCCTCCGGGGGCTTTTGTTGGGCCGCAGGACCGTCAAAAAACGGCTCGAGATTAGAGACTGGTCCCGGGGAAAGGGTCCAGACCTCTATCGACGTTGCGTTTTGAAACAAGAGAAGAAAAAACGACGTCGGGGGTCTGGGTAAGGTTAGCAGGTTTTCTTGCTGTCCCGCTGGGCCCGAGACGATTGGCCGAGTACGAGTGGCCGAGGGCCACCAGAATCTCCAGAAATCCCAGAAGGCAGCTGGAGCCCATCGCACGCATCATGGCATCGTTCTCGTTCTCGTCCTGTTGCCGACAGCCCTGTCAGGGACCCTCCCGTCCCTTCTGAGGAGCCCCCCGCGCCTACTGAGGAACTCTCCTCGATCGATCCGACTCGATGTCGAACTCAAACGGCTCGACCTTCCTCCTCCTCCTCCTCCTCCTCCTCCTCCTCCTCCTCCTCCTCCTCCTCCACCCTCCTCCGGCCTCCTCCTCTCCCTCCGCCTCCCATTCTCTCTGGTCTCTCCTCGTCCTCAGACCTCGTCCTCCTCCACCTCCTCCTCCTCCTCCTCCTCCTCCTCCTCCTCCTCCTCCTCCTCCCCCTTCTCCTCCTCCCTCCTCACTCCTCCTCCTCCCTACTCGTCCTCGTCCCCGTCCTCCTCCTCCTCCTCCTCCTCCTCCTCCTCCTCCTCCTCCTCCTCCTCCTCCTCCTCACACAGTTCGATTTCGATCTCCTGGCGGCCCCATACGGCTGGACCACGTGCACTGAGCATGCAGCTGCGTACCCCCGGCGGCCTGGAGCAGATCCCGGCCAGATCGGTGGGCTCGTTTTTGTTGCGATTGGAGCCCAGGGGGGCCCCTCATCAGGCAGCAGTCAAATCTGGCCAGCTGAGCTCGGCCAGGCTGAATTCGGCTACACATTGTTCATTCCGAATTCTTCGAGTTCTTTGATTTATGTTGGGGCCAAGATCCTTTCATTTCTAATTGTGCTATCCTGGGCATCTTCCTGGCCACCAGTGGGCCAGGAACAATTAGAAACGAGTACAATTAGAAATGAGCACGATTAGAAATTAACGACATGTAGCTGAACTCGACCAGGCGGAACTCGACCAGGCAGAACTCGGCCGGCTGCTCTCGGCCAGCCTGAACTCGGACAAGTTGATTTGGGCTTGGACGGAGTTCCGCCTGGCCGAGGTCGATTGGACGAGATCAGTTTGGCCGAGTTGTCCCTGGCCTCGCCCTTGGCCTGGATAGCTGGTTACACGTCGCCCTGTCGTTGTTTGTCCGACGCGCGGCCTCAAGTCTTGGGGAGAGCGCCGCACCACGGCAAACTTCGCCTCGGACGCGGAGTTTGCCGTGGGTTTGCCGTGGTGTCGGTTCCGCTTATTTTGACGAGATCAGAACCATCGGCGCGGAGACATATGTCTCGCGTGCATGCCCGGACACACCCGAGTATCTCGAGGTTCAGGCCTCACCCGCCTGGTCTCACAAGGCCCAGACACTTGTCAGCACTGGTGGTTCGTTCGCTCGTTTCTAGGCCTCCCAGATGGGCTCGGAGCAGATGGGGTCGGAGGATCGCGCAGCATCACCGATGCATCGCTGAGACATCGTCGACGCGGCTCGATGTGGAGCACGATGGTCTCCACGCCGACGCGGTGCAATCCTCTGGCCCCACCCTCCCCCTCCTCCCCGCTCTCCTCCTCCTCCTGGTCCTCCTCCTCCACCTCTTCCTCCTCCTCCTCCTCCCTCCTCCTCCTCCTCCTCTCTCCTCCTCCGCCTTCTCCTCCTCCTCCTCCTCCTCCCCTCCTCCTCCTCCCCTCCTCCTTCCTCCTCCTCCCCCCCCTCCTCCCTCTCCCCTCCTCCACATCCGCCTCCTCCTCGTCCTCCCACCTCCTCCTCCTCCTCCTTCCTCCTCCACCTCCACCTCCACCTCCGTCCTCCTCCTCACCCTCCTCCTCATCCTCCCCTCCTCCTCCTCCTCCTCCTACCTTCCTCCTCCTCCTCCTCCTCCTCCTCCTCCTCCTCATCGGGTCCCATTTGGGAGGCCTTCCTCGCTCGTCCAGGGCGCCCCAACGCCCGTCCGCCCACCCACCCCCTCTGTGCCTGCGCCTGCGGCCGGCGAGGGCCAGGCGCCCGCACCCCACTCGCTTGCCGCGAAGGCAGGGGCGCTGGGCCTCCTCAAAGGCTGAGTCAAAAAGCAAACGAGGAGGAGGAGGAGGAGGAGGAGGAGAAGGA